TTTTATGCTGTTCAAAATAAAGGTGGCATTAACAGTTGTAGGACCCAAATCTGACAAATTTTACTACTGCCAACATATTTTGTTCATGAAACCCGCCTAACTCTAACCTAGCACTTGTTTGACAGTCTTCAACTAAGTTTGAGACTTATAAAAATACTATCATCTGTCTGTCCTGGACTCACAGGATTAATTAACAGCCACTGTTGTTCATGCTGGGCTGACCCAGGATGGGCATCATGACTCAAGAATGGATAAGTTTTGGGGGGACCAGTCACCCTGTGGAAAGATGTGCATGCTCTTCTGACTGCAAAAAAGAGTTGAAGAGAAGAATAGCCCAGCCTAGGGGACAGAAGCTAAGTCTGAATGGATGGGGGAAGTTACCTCCTAGGTAATAAAATTTCAAAATATCATATTGGGGGGGATGCACAATTATCTGCATAATAAACAATTCCTAAGATGCTGATACCAGCCTGTAGAAAACCCACCACAATTCTAGAGCTCATAAAGTCACTGTATTCAATCAGATGTGATTTCTGAGGTCAGTAATGATTTTCAGATCTTAAGGGTACCTCATTCATCCATCACTATTTATACTTAGTGCACTATTTTGTATAGACATAATTTTCAGGGATTTGAAGAGAGAAACAAAAATTCCTGTGTGAAATTTCAAGAAAGCTCATTGTCCTGACACTTAAGTCACTACATGATCAGAATGTACTTTTTCTTAATTTTAATAGTTTGAAGACAGGTCATTCTAAAGGCTGAAACCTGCTACCTTCATCATGCAAACAAACCTCACTCACAAGGATTGTCACCTTATTTACCTCATGGGATGGTCTGCATATAGAAGTCTTTAATTTTTGCACCTTTCTTACATCCTCCTCCCTCAGTGTGCATTAAGCTCCTAGAGTAAGTTGAGGTGATTACAAAAAACATTCTACCTCCCCCCAAAACAACAAAAAAAGGTCCACTTCAAAGAACTTTGTTATTTTGTATCATCTCCCACAGCAGGTGCCTTCAGACTAGTCAATGCTTCCTTTCAGTCCCCTTTTGAGCTACTGGAAACCTTGACAACATCCTGTCAAAACCACCCACCTCTGGCCCATACTCTGCATTCTTAAGAGAGGTATAAATCCAGGCTTAAGCACACTTCAGAGTAAGTAGAACTCACAAAATTCAAGTTAAAGATTTGCAACATAATGACAATATACTTATCAGCCTAGGCATTATACCCAGCAGTGGGTTTTAGTTCTGAAAGACAGGAAAGCAAACCTCTTTCTCACCAACATTTGGAGGCACAGCTGAACAAAAGCAGTTACGAAACCAATTCACTGTAATGGGCACTTTCAGTTTGCAGTTTGTATATTACTCAGTATAACTTCTCCCCCAGTAAACTCGAAATAACTTTTAAGGTCATCTGGAGCAAATTCTACCAAGAAGAAGACAGACAGTTTTAGCAGGGAGGTGCCAGGAAAAAACTCAGCTGACTTCAAGAGGGAGAAAACAAGAGAACTCTATCAGCATTCCCGAGCTGCAGACTCCCTGGAAGTGAAGTGACAGGGGTGGGTGTGTGTGGGGGGGAAATCCATTTAATATAGGCTGATCCGCAGTTATGCATGTAGGAAGATTTAATTTAAATGCCCCTTACGGGAGAGGCCACAGCTTCTGAGAAAACCCTGGCTCGCAAAGAAACGCGGGGACTAAAGTGATGGAACATAAGTTCCCACCGTGTAGTCGTGGGAAAGAAGAGTTTGTGCCGTTGGGTGAATAGACAGGGGAATACTGAGCACGTGTCATTATCTCCACACGTGACACCAACGGGAGCCTTCCTGGAATCCACTGTGCCGTGCTGGTGGCCTGGAGAAGAGTGGTGGAACCGCTTCTTCTGGGGAGCATCTGCATTCCATGGAGAGACCAAAGGAGCTCGGTCTATTTATCTCATCAGAGACAACGTTAAGTGGCTATTTAATTACTGCCCTTAAATACTTGAGCAGAGAGAGACGATCTGAAACTAGATAGCTATTTAATCTGACAGACAAAGACATTACCAGATCCAGCAGCTAGAAGATGAAGTCAGAAAAGTTCAAAGCGGAAAAAAAGATGCAAACGTTTAACGATGAGATTAACAATTGGAGCCAATTACCCAGGAACACAGACAATTCCCCACCGTTGGAAGTCATTCAGTCAAGACTGTTTGAAGAGGCTGGTGGGCCTGGCCTCGGACTCACTGGGGAATAGTCTGACGGACGAGGTTAGAGTATGGGAGCATAATAATTCCTTATGACTAACAAAGCACCACCAGCAGCACCGTTATCTTCTGAGAGAAACAGAAGGATGAAGGAAAAAAGCATTAACAAAGTCGAGGCCTGTACGGGGCACAAAAAGCAGGTTGATCTGTGGACAACACAAGCCGGCAAGATCATCCCTAGTTTTGTCACTGACTTCAGCAGGGGCAAGCCATCCGTCAGGGATTTATGGCCAGGCTGCCCAAGGCACCTTGGGGCAGCAGAGCTCCAAGGCAGGGGAGCACCACCGGGTGTGCCATCACCCGGCTGCAACCCCCCCGCTGCCAGCCCGGGCCGACCACCCCCCAGCACCCCCGAGGGCACTGTTCCACAAGCCCCCGGGTTTTGGGAGACACCCGTCCCGGGGTACACGGCTACACACCGCACCCCTGTGTCCCCCCGCCCCGCCTTCGCCCCGGGCGAGGCCGGAGGAGCGTGTGTGTGTGTGTGTGTGTGCGCGGGGCGGGCCGCGGGAAGGGACTCCCTCCGCCTTCGCCCCGGGCGAGGCCGGAGGAGCGTGTGTGTGTGTGTGTGTGTGTGCGGGGCGGGCCGCGGGAAGGGCCTCCCTTCGCCGTGAGCCCCACGGCGTGGGGCTGTGGGCCGGGGCTGCCCCCCCACAGCGGCGGGTGGCCTCCGGGCCACCTTCCGCGCTGCGACACCGCGGTTGCTGTGGCGACCGCGCCACTGCCGTGGCGACCGCGCCGCGCATCCCCCCTAACCCCCCCGGCCCGGCGAGGCGGGGGCACCTTATTCTTCCTTATTTTTTTTAAGTTTTCCGCGCTCCCAAACACGCGGGCGCCCAACCCGCCTCCAAGCGCCGGTAAAAACCAGTAGTGGCTTAGAGAGACCCCCCCTCGGGGCTAGCCCGGTCCGGCTGTCCCCCCGCTCCGCGGTGTCCCCTCGGCTGACACCCCCCCTCCCCTTCCCCGAGGAGGGGGTCACGGCTCCTCAGCCATGGCTCGGCCCACACAGCACCCCCCGGCCCGGGCAAGGCCGGACAGGACGAGGTAGCCCCCCTGCCTCGCCCCGGGCACCTGTCCTCGCCCCGGCCCCGCTCCTCTCCGGCGCGGACAAAAAAAAAACCCAAAACAACTTGCTGGGGGGATGCGTGGGTGCTCACGACCCCCCCTCGCCCCTTACCTCCTCCGCGGCGGCGCCCGGGGAGCCGCGGGCACGCCGCCGCCGCGGGCAGGGATGACCTTGCGGAGAAATTCATCATCCGGGCAGGAAAACAAGCCCTTCCTCGGGGTGTGCAGCCGCGGGAGGAGGGAGGGCGGAGGGAAGAAGGGAGGGAGGGAGGACTCCGCTGGGGTGGG